CTTCCATTGTATTTTTAAAATTTCTGCTTTTCATATGTTTAAATCTAAAGACTGTTTTTTTTTTTTTTTTTGCTGTTGTTCTCTAAAAAATTTAAGAGGCTGTAGTCCCAGCTACTTATGAGGCTCAGATGGTAACACTGTTTGGGCCCAGGAGGTTGAGGCTGCAGTGAGCCATGACTGCACCCCTGCATTCCAGCCTGGTCAACAGAGTGAGACCCTGTTTCAAAAAGAAAAAGAAAATATAGCTAGATAGACATACAGTATATATATATATATATACACACACACACACACACACACACACACACACAAACTTAGGGAATGACTGAAACTTCATTGCCAATCCCCTTCCTTATAGGTTCGAAGGCAAAATAATTGGAAGGAGGGATTATTATGGCACTAAATGAAGAGTAGTTGAGTACAGGCTCCTTAGAATTTGAGAAAGGGGACTGCCAAGGCTGTACTAAGAGAGGGAGTAAAATATAAGCATGGTAAGGCACAAGAGAAATTGTTCCAGGGAATCAGAATCCAATATGAAGTTAAGTAAAATGAACATTTTGATTAAGTTCAAGGTTGAGTAGATAATGTCATCCATATTTTGGAGGAAGTCCTCCAATGTGAATATGAAATTATGCTATGCATATGAGAACAACAGTTTTCATGAATTGAGTGCTTATCAGGACTGTGTTTTGCCTGTGGGCCTAGGCTCAATATATTAGATATCTCCATTTTATAGATTAAAAAAAAATGAGCCCAGTGTCTACAAACAGTAAGAGGCATAGTCTGGATTAAATTCTAGAACTTGTGATTCAAAAACCCAGGTTCTCTTTTATATACCCCATTGCTTCTTTGTAACCTCAGAAAGAGCTAAGTAAGTCATGCTGAAAAGTTTTATTTTCTATGTGGCTGAGGGTCTACCCACTTAAGAAGATAAACATAATAGAAAAAGCTTTCAGATGCACACCTATGGTACACATCTGCAATCCCAGCATTTTGGGAGGACAAGGCAGGTGGATCACTTGAGCCCAGGAGTTTGAGACCAGCCTGGGCAACATGGTGAAACCCAGTCTCTACAAAAAATACAAAAATTAGCCAGGTTTGGTGGCACACACCTGTGGGACAATTGCCTGAGCCCAAGGAGATCAAGGCTGCAATGAGCTATGATTACACCACTGTCCTCCAGCCTGTGCGACAGAGATCCTGTCTCAAAAAAAAAAAAAAAAGTTAAAGTTTTCTTAGATTGTATTATGCAATTCCTCACATCCTCCAATATGTTACAGTGAACATTTAATAACTTTTTCCTGGAAATTCATCCTTCACGTGGATGACTGGCCCATACCATAAATGAGGCGATGCTCTCAGGTTCTGCGGTGGGGGGGCTATTGGCCCACACGGTGGTACTTTTCCAGTTTACTTGTCAGAATATGATTTTAATTTTTCCCCTGGCTCCTGTTCATGTGATGGAGATACTTTTCCTTCCTTTTTTTTTTTTGGAAACAGAGTTTGTCTTTCACCCAGTCTGGAGTAAAATGGCACGATCTCATCTCACTGCAACTTCCACCCCCCCGCCCAGGTTCCAGCAATTATCCTGCCTCAGTCTCATGAGTAGCTGGGATTATAGGTGCCCACCACCATGCCTGGCTAATTTTTTAATATTCTTAGTAAAGACGGTGTTTCACTATGTTGGTCAGGCTGATCTTAAACTCCTGACCTCAGGTGATCCACCAGCCTCAGTCTCCCAAATGGCTGGGATTACAGGTGTGAGCCACCATGCCCGGCCCCTTTTCCTTCCTTAAATGAGGATCTCCCACTGCCTTGGGAATTAGATAAACCAATTAGAGCTATATGTAAAGTAAAAGTAAATAGGCCTGAAGTGCTGGCCTACAAGAACCCCATAAGAAACTAGATTCCTTAACTTCCACTTTCAAGTCACAGCAGCCCCACTGCATACCTCTTAAGTTTGTGCTGTGCCCCAGATAAAGGAGTACATCAAGTCACCGAGTTCTAAGTAAGTGGGGTGCAATGAAACTTTCAGTAGAAGTGAAGCAAGAGCAGCTACGAGAAACAGACCTCTTGGACACCGAAATACGAAGGAACAGGTGATTTGTTCAGCTGGGGGCAAGGCGACATAGTTGTCTAACAGCCAAGCTCATCTAACAAAGAGAAGCTCTGCCTTTATATAGGCTTACAACTCTAGATACTACACGTGAAAGGGTCTTGGGTTTACAGCCTTAGAAATTACACATGAAAGGATCTTGGGTTTACAGTTTTAGAAATTACATGTGAAAAGGTCTTGGTCCATGGAGTAGGCATGGGGTTGGGGTTTGATCTTGTTTAAGTAAAAAGCATGTCTTCCAGAGAAATTCCCCCATACTATGCCTGCTATCTATAGGAAAGTGATTAAGGAGGCACCGGTTGGCCAGCCTTTTCTTCTATTGAAATGCAGCGTGGAAGCCAAGGGGGAAGGGATCCTAGATGCTTGGGTCTCTTTCCCCAGAAGCAAGATGTAAATAACACACACACACACACACACACACACACACACACACGATTTTATTTTCTCACTGGCAATGGCCTACTGCACTTAAACATTTCCATCAGACTCAAAAAATAATTTTATTTCAGAAGAAATAAAATATTTTACTTATTTTAAATATTTTACTTATTAAGAGTTTTTCTTTTTTAAAAAAGATATAGGATCTTGCTATGTTGCCCAGGCTGATCTCCAATTCCTGGCTTCAAGCAATCCTCCTGTCTCAGCCTCCTGAGTAGCTGGGACTATAGGTATATACCACTACTCCCAGCTTGACTTGTTTTTATTCACCCATTGAAAAGCCTTTGCTACATATTAATATAAACTTGTCACTAATAAATCCTTCCTTTCGCCGGGCACGGTGGCTCATGCCTGTAATCCCAGCACTTTGGGAGGCCAAGGCAGGTGGATCACGAGGTCAAGAGGTCGAGACCATCCTGGTCAACATGGTGAAACCCCGTCTCTACTAAAAATACAATAAAAAATTAGCTGGGCATGGTGGCGCATGCCTGTAATCCCAGCTACTCAGGAGGCTGAGGCAGGAGAATTGCCTGAACCCAGGAGGCAGAGGTTGCAGGGCACCAAGATTGCGCCATTGCACTCCAGCCTGGGTAACAAGAGCGAAACTCTGTCTCAAAATAAATAAATAAATAAATAAATAAATAAATAAATAAATAAATAAATAAATCCTTCCTTTTTTTTTTGAGACGAGTCTCACTCTGTTGCTCAGGCTGGAGTATAGTGGCGAGATCTTGGCTCACTGCAACCTCTGCCTCCCAAGTTCAAGCGATTCTCCTGCCTCAGCCTCCTGAGTAGCTGGGATTATAGGCATGTGCCACCATATTCAGCTGAATTTTGTATTTCTAGTAGAGACAGGGTTTCACCATGTTGGCCAGGATGGTCTCAAACTCCTGACCTCAGGTGATCCACCCACCTTGACCTCCCAAAGCGATGGGATTATAGGCGTGAACCACAATGACCAGCCACTGATAAATCCTTCTTTAAGTAAGAAAATAATATAACATGAGCATAACTTTGCATGAGTTTTGATGTCCTGGAGCCTTGTTATTTCACATATAAAGTGCAGGTCAGTAAAAATTAAAATGAGGTAATATGGTATAATAGGCTTAACCCACTAAGGGTACAATAAAGAAGGGCTATTACTTTAACATGAATTCAACTGAAATCCTGATAGGTCAACACCAATAACAATGTTTCCCATATAGCTTAAAAACTGTTCTTTGTCATTCCCTCATCTACCCAATGGGAATGAGAGTTAGCCTGTTAGGCTGCTTCCAGGACCACTGAATGCTGGGAATCAACCATGCTATATCCTCTCATTTAACAGATGGGGAAGCAGAGTTCCAGGGAGTTTGGGAAACTTGTCCATAAAGGGGCAACTGCTCTGGGGCTGCACTATGTCTAGGAACAGGGCTCTTTTTATCAACATGAGTATCTCTTTCCTTTATATGCCCCTTCAGGTTTACAAGGCACCTCCTCAGCTCCATGATTTTGTTTATTACACTATATCACTCGGCTCAGGAAAATGGCTTTTTTTCCTCCTTTCTTGTCTTTGGAAGATTTTTTGCATTCTTGTAGCAGCTGATCCCATACTAACCCTTAAACTAAAAAAAGAAAAAATATATATGTATGTATACACACACACAGAGATATGTGAATATGTGGAAGAAACAGCACTAGGTCTCCCTGGACAACCCAGTGCCGGCCACACCCTGGCAGCCACAAAGCACAAATAAGAAATGGGCTTCTCATGTGCATTGCTTTTGATACTTCAATACTAAAGAGCTCAGAAGGGCTTACACTTTGAAAGAAGCCACGGAACGTTTGCAGACTACACTTTAATGTGTCTCATTTTGAGACCAAACAGTGAGCAGGTTGACCAGCTGCTCTTCATGTACTTCTTGCAGTAAATCCTTCAAAAAATGAAGAGTTAAGACAACTCATTTCTTCTCCTGGAATTTTTCCTTCTTATTTTGCTTTTTTAAAGGTTAACAACCTTAAAAATATTCAGGTAGAGGCATAAGACATTATAAAAGATAAGGGATGTCATGTGAGGGAGAAAATCAGACAATCCAAAAAAATCTTCCATAGAAATTAAAAATCAGAACTTGGGGGCAAAGTAAGAGGCAACACATTCTTTCCACAGAACTGTGACACATAGTCCAACTGTCCTTAAAAGCAGGAATGAAAAAAAAAAAACGAAACAGAAAAACAGACCTCAGCTGTATAATGAAGCTGGGGTCTTGGCCTGACAGCTTTTAATGTCCTTAAAACTGAGCTGGGCATCAAGCGTCTTTTCCGGAATAGGCCAAGTAAGACAAGTCCAGTTTGGTTTTTAAGGCTTTAGTGAGCTCTGCGGCCAGAAGCTCATGGAGGGACACGCCGTCGTGGGAGTATACCCAGTTTTTCCCAGTCCAGTCGTAACGCTTGGGTCCACTGGAAGACAAAAACAAATACATGGTAATTCCACAGCGCAGCCCCTCAGATGAACCACTGATTCCACAAACGCTGCCCCCATGAAATTGACTGGAGTAAAGCCCCAGAAAATAACATGAATTGAACTACAGTATATACCTGATTTCTTTCTTTCTTTCTTTTTTTTTTTTTTGAGATGGATTTTTATTCTTGTTGCCCAGGCTGGAGTGCAGTAGGGTAATCTTGGCTCACCGCAACCTCTGCCTCCTGGCTTCAAGCGATTTTCCTGCCTCAGCTTCACAAGTAGCTGGCATTACAGGCATGTGCCACCACACCTGGCTAATTTTGTATTTTTTTTTTTTTAGTAGAGATAGCTTTCATCATGTTGGCCCGGCTGGTCTTGAATTCCTGACCTCGTGATCCGCCTGTCTCGGCTCGGTCTCTCAAAGTGCTGGGATTACAGGCATGAGCCACTGTGCCCAGCCCTAGTTTCTTATCGTAGCATCTAAGAAGAGTTATACAATATATCTTCTGGAACAATTCCCAGAATGAGTCTCAAAACCTGAAAAATCATTTGACTTTTACTGATAAAGTCTCCAGGTATCACACTCTGATCTCTAGCTTTTGCTACCTTACATATGATAACTGCTATGCTAGAGCAGTGTTTTAAAAATTAGGGCCATTTTTGTGCCTGATGCAATTTGTGCCTTACCTATACTGTTATTAGTTGTTAGAATGAAATTCACGTAAAATTAACCATTTAAAAATGAACAATTCGGTGGCATTTAGTACATTTACAATGTTGTGCAACCACTACCTCTATCCAGCTCCAAAACATCTGCAGCACCCCAAAGGGAGACCCAGCGCTGTCGTTCCTTGGTATCGATGGAGAAGGGGTTCCAGGATCTGCAGATCCCCAATCTGTGGGTACTCAAGTCCCTGATATGAAATGGTACAGTACTTGCATCTAACTTAGGCACATCCTCCCGTATACTTTAAGTCATCTCTAGATTACTTATAATGCCTAGTACAATGTAAAGGCTATGTTGATGGTTTTTATATTGGTTTTTAATATGTATCATTTTTGTTGTTTTACTATGGTTTTCATTTTCAAATATTTTGACCCATGGTTGGTTGGATAGCAAATGCAGAACCCACAGATACAGACAGCCTACTATACCCATTAAACAGTTATTCCCCATTCCTTCCTCTCCCAGCACCCCAGCAATCATCTTTTTTATGAGATGAAGTTTCACTCTTGTTGCCCAGGCTGGAGTGCAGTGGTGCGATCTTGGCTGACCAAAACCTCTGCCTCCCAGGTTCAAGCAATTCTCCTGCCTCAGCCTCCTGAGTAGCTGGGATTGCAGGTATCCACCACCACGCCCGGCTAATTTTATTTTTAGTAGAGATGGGGTTTCTCCATGTTGGTCAGGCTGGTCTCAAACTCGCGACCTCAGGTGATCCGCCTGCCTTGGCCTTCCAAAGTGCTGGGATTACAGGCATGAGTCACTGAGCCCGGACTTAAACTTATTTTTTAAAAAACATTTTTCTTAATTCAATGTTAAATTCATGAAGTTGAGAGCCTGGTGGGCTAGTTCATCTACTTCAAGCTCATCCAGTGAACAATGGCACATGTACTTCACCATTGTGTGAGCAGATTGGAGGCTGGCTTCTGCCATGTCTTGGTATTCCAGATGTACATTCCACTTCCTCATGGCTTTGTGGATGGGTGGCCATGGCAGCAGATAACGCTGGTGCATGTGGTGCCCTGATGAAGGTAAGAGCAGAGTGCACAGGAGCCCAGAAGAAAGGGCACCTGAGTCTGCCTGAGCACTCAAGAAGGGCTTTTCCAAAGACCAAGGCTAGGAGGAACTCACCAGGAAGGGAAGCTTGGGCTATAAAGCATCAAGAATTCCTGCATTATTAACCAAATGCTGGGGCTAGAACCTCTTCCCAATATGGAGATTAAAAAATGAGTGAACCACATCAGGTGTGGTGGCTCAAATCTGTAATCTCACCACTTTGGGAGGCCGAGGCAGGCAGATCATGAGGGCAGGAGATAGAGACCATCCTGACTAACATGGTGAAGCCCCGTCTCTACTAAAAATACAAAAAATTGGCCGGGTGTGGTGGCATGCGCCAGTAGTCCTAGCTACTCGGGAGACTAAGGAGAATTGCTTGAACCCGGGAGGCAGAGGTTGCAGTGAGCCAGGATTGCGCCACTGCACTCCAGCCTGGTCTAAAGAGTGAGTCAGTCTCAAAAAACAAAACAAAACAAAACAAAAAAATGAGTGAAGCTAACCATCAGGGTCACATAAAAAGGACTAATAAACCACACCAAGCCCAAGGACCGTCCCCTTAGCTCTATGCTCCGATGCTACTATCAGGTTGCCAGCCAGAGCCTGAGTAACCTCCAGACCCCTCTACACTGCCTGAGGCACTCTGAGCACAGGAACTGATGCCCAAGTGTCCCTAGAACTCTCCTTTATTCCATCCTGCAACCTCCTTAGGGTGGGCAAGGTAGGAGGAAAGACCGCTGATTCCACAGGACCTGAAAAGTTGTCAACTTAAGAAAAAAACAGGCCGTTGCAGTGGCTCACACACATAACCCCAGCACTTTGGGAGGCTGATGTGGGAGGACTGCTTGAAGCCACAAATTTGAGACAATCTAGGCAACAAAGTGAGACCCCGTGTTGACAGAAAGAATTATTTTTAATTAAAACTAAGCAAAATGAAAAAAAAAATTAGAAATGCAGCCTGATGGAAGATATTTTAAACCAATGTGAAAAACCAATTTTTTAAAAAATATTAAACAACCTTTATTTGAAAAACAGTGCCTTCCTAACACTATCGATCAAACTTCAATAAGAGCAAGTCAACTAATAATAGTTGCTAAATTAACAAGAGATCAATCAAAAGTGCTTCAAAGGGAGCAGGACTGGCTGGTGTTCCGCTGAGTCTCTGGGCATTCAGGGCCCAGCCACAGGGAAAATAGAATCAAACTGGCTGGAGCCCTGGACCCAAGCCCTCCCATTGTGACCTGCCTCTCTCCTGGGGTCCCTGGCAGCCCATGGTCCCAAGGGCACTTCTGGGCTCCTGTCAGCTATGGGTGGTGCCCCAGGAGCCAAAGGCCACTTGGAAAAGGCTGGAACTTGGCCTCACAGTCAGCTGGTTTCTGCCTATTGTGGTCATTTTCTTTCTGGAGTGTCTGGAGCACTCTCTCAGCGGACACGGTGGCCACCAGCCTTCCTGGGCTGTTTTCTTTTCTTTTTGAGATGGGGGCTCACTCTGTCACCTAAGCTGGAGTGCAATGGTGTGATCTCAGCTCACTGCAACCTCCGCCTCCGAGGTTCAAGCAATCCTCTCATCTCCGCCTCCCAAGTAGCTGGGACCACAGGCATGCACACCATGCCCGGTTAATTTTTGTACTTTTGGTAGAGACAGGGTTTCATCATGTTGCCCAGGCTGGCCTTGAACTCCTGAGCTCAAGTGATCTGCTGCCTTGGCCTCCCAAAGAGCTAGGATTACAGGCATGAGCTACTGTGCCTGCCCCCTGGGCCATTTTCTTATAGCAGAGGATCTCCCCCTGACAACTGGAAGTGTCTTTCTTTAATTCCTGGGCCAGGTTTTGGGCCAGCTTCTTGGTCATGGGTGTGACACATGCAGTTGAAGTTTTTATGCACTTTGTTTATTCTCTGGTAGAGGTCTGGGCAGCAGGTCTTTGTGGACTCCCGCTATGGCCTCATTAGGTTTTTGGTGCAGTTCAGGCAGAGGCCGCATCAGCTGCAGCCTCGGGGGCTCTGTCTTCCACTGTGCCCTTGCGTCCTACAGAGGCCTACTCCCCGAGCAGAGTTTGGACTTGAGCTGAGTGTTATTTGGTTTGCTTCTACAATCTTCCCCTCAGGACATTTGAAAGATGCACCTAAGTCACGATTGTCATCCACACTCTTCAGAGGGACTTGTGGCTGGGATGCTGAGGGACCACCATGTCCAGCTTCCCTGTTCCCTTTCACTGGCAAGTCCCCATCACGCTTGAGCAGAGGCAGGACACTCAGCGGGGTGTGGGGCAGGGAGGTCAGTTGCTTTACTCCAACATTCATGGCCTGTTTCATTCCTGCCTTGGTCTTTCCTTCTCCTTTTTTGAGACAGAATCTTGCTCTGTCACCCAGGTTGGAGTGCAGTGGCACGATCTCAGCTCATTACAACCTCCACCTCTTGGGTTCAAGCAATTCTCCTGTCTTAGCCTCCCAAGTAGCTGGGATTACAGGTGCCTGCCACCATGCCCAGCTAAATTTTTGTATTTTTAGTAGAGGTATTTGGTATTTTTAGGGTTTCACCATGTTGGCCAGGCTGGTCTCAAACTCCTGACCTCAAGTAATCTGCCTGCCTCGGCCTCCCAAAGTGCTGGGTTTACAGGCGTGAGCCACCGTGTCTGGCCCTCTCCTCCTTTTCTGCCTGCAAGCATTGCTTCTGTCTTGCAATTTCTTGGTCAGGCCGCTCTGCAGTTTGCTGACGGTCAGCGCTGTCATTCAGATCATCTGCGGTTTGCCCCTGAAGAACCTCTCCATGGTGCTGTGAAGCATGCAGGACGTGCTTTGCATTAGTCACTCAGGAAGTTCAGGAGGCCTGCTTTTCATGCTTTTTCAGAAACTAACCTAGGCCCTGACAGGAGGACCTGCTCATTTCATCTGGAACCCTTGAGAAGAGAATTTGGAGCAGTTAAGGACTGGCCTCCGGCATGGTCAACATAAGGCCATCACCAGCCTGAGGCACTGGCTGCATCTTGGCCCTGGCCTTTCTGTGAACCTCACTCTGGGCCAATTCTCCCCTTCTCAGGGTGTCATCTCCTGACAGTAATGCATGCCTGGGTCACCCAGGGTATCCACAGGTTTGCTAGCACTAGTCCCAGGATTCTGCATATCACTAGCACTGCCACCCACAGGAGGGCCAGCAGCAGCTGAGTAGCGTGTTGTGGCAGCCAGCAGGCCCTCTGTGGCTCCCCAGGGCTCCACAGCTCTGCCTCCACTTGCCAGTGGTGTGTGGGCCACAAATGACCACTTGGACTCTGGGGGGTGTTCTGTCTCTAACACAAACCAGGGCCCATCATCATTGTAGACCTGTTGGGCTGGGGGGAGGGGAGGCATCCCTTGTTCTAGAAAATTGTATCCCTGATTTTGCTGTGTAAACAGAAAGTAACATTATGCAATGCCTTGGGGGAGTAGAAAGAACTCACAGTAGCCCCTTAGCACTAGCCACTCCAGGCCCCACCTGGCCCTACAGCATAGCTAGTGGGTCAAAGCAGGGCCAGGATGTAGCCCCGTGTCCACATGTGATCCTCTCAGGGCAGTGTGGTTGCCTGCCTCTGTCTCTGCTGAGGCTCATTACCGACTTCAAGTTTCCTTCTGCTGCAGGGAAGCCTGGTCCCACCTACAAACAGTCTGTCTCCCTTGCTAGATTAAGCTCCTTGAAGATGGGACTGTGTTTCCTTCATCTCCCTATCTCCAGTAGCTCATCAATGCACGTTATACACTAGAGGCTCAGTCATTTTTTGTCCTGTTTTCTTATTGACTCTACTCCGACTTAGGATATGTCACTTTCCCCACTGGACCTCCATATTCACATCTGTGAGTAAAAGTAAGTGGGTAAAGGCCCTTGTAGCTTTAAAACCCTTCCAATACAGAGACCTCTGAAATTAGAAGCAGAAGCTGAGGAGTGGTGAATGGAGCATCTTCCTGGCTTGATGGCAGGGGCCTGCAGATCTGGCTATGAGGGTGGCATCTTGCTAGTTGAATGCCTCTGCAGAATTCCACCCTAGTTTCCAAATCAGACTCAAGGATGATCTTTATTGTTGATAATTTTTAGGGTTTTTTTTTTTTTGGAGGCTTTGTTATTGACACAACAGCTTCTGGAAATCTTTTCCATAGAGAGTATGGGGGCTTCCTTGGCCAAGTCGGGCGGGTGCAGGCTCCCACTGCCCGGCAGCCACTGCCTGGGCTGCAGCATGTCCACAACCTCCTGCTCCTCTACAGAGGTTTCTCCAGACATTACCAAGTCTGGTCATGTCATTTGCCACAGGTATAAAAATGACAACAGCCCAAAGCCACGGGATCCTGCTGTGGAATCCTGCACAGGATTCCCTCACAGGCACAGCTACATGGTGCTCCAGTGCTCCAGCCTGCTCCTTCCAAGAAGACAGGTGTGGGATGACCAGGGTCCCGCTAGCTCTTCCAGATACTGAAGTCTGTGTGGGCAGCAGGCCAGGAGTGGGGCGAGCCACCCTGGTGGTGAGGGCCCAGGGTGGAATGGCTATGTTAGACAGGCAGCATCCTGGCCTCCAGTGACCAGCAGAGTGGCTCGGCCTCCATCCCCCACTTTTCCACAGAGGTACTGAGAGCTTGTGCTCAGGACTTGCTTCTCCACCTCCCTTTGCCCAACTCCTACTGGAGGTGGCCTCTGGATCTGTCAGAATCTGGGTGCAGGAAAAGGAGGCACCTGAGGTGGACGGGGAGCCTGTGGTCTCTGGGTCTGGCCTGTTCTGGTGGAGACACCTCTTTAGTCTCACCCTGGCCCCCATATATATATATATATATATATTCCCCCCGCTTTTTTGAGAAAAATAGTATTTATGACAGTAAATGGCTTGCTCAGCAGATCTTTCCAAATTCCCATATGAATGACAGATTTTAAAATAGAACACCTGAATTTCTAACAAATTATTATCCAGTAGCATATGTTTCTGAACACAGCTAGGGTAGGAGCCTCAGCAATAGCTGAGCAGAGTGTCCAAATACCATATGGACATTTTCAGACTCCAGATATGGAGAATATTCTTTTGGGATAATGAAGAAATTAAAACAAGACAAAGTTAGCACTTTGTCATCATTGCTTCATGTTTTATCTCAAAACTTGCCATTTCTACAAGTATACAATAGACACCATAAAAAAAGTGCCTGCTCGATATCTACAAAGCCACTGATAACCAAAAGTGATTGCTGGACTGAGCCAATCCACCTCGTTCCCAGGAGTTGAAGGATTAGAATGCACAGGCTCAAGCATGGCCAGGATCAGGAAGAGTGACTGAGGCTACAGAGGCTAACTGGCCCACAGAGATTACAATCCTTCAACCTCTAGTAAGCTAACTGGGTCTAAAAACCAATACGATCTGTGAATTAGGGCCTTCCTAGAATGACAGTGATTTCTAGTGCTTTCTGTTGAACTCTAGCGCACTTCCTGGATGAGAGTGTGGAGAAAGGAAGCATAACACTATTTATTCTGAATAAAGCATTACAAATCACAGAATGATAAATGGTATAATAATGCCTAAAATATATATATATATATATATATATATAATAAATGCCTAAAAAATGATGTCAATATTAGGGGGCAGAGTAAGGATATAATTTTTTTAAAATGCAAATACCATTAGTCTTTCAAAGAGTTCTATGCTGGTTTTATCTGGCCCTTTCCCAATTCACAGTCAACATCTCTCTTTGGAAATGCTAATGAATGACTGGATCTGAGAGCTTTGTGAGCATTTCTCTTTTACTTTCTTACAACCACTTCAACAGCAGCCAGGCTGATGAGGGATGACGGACGTCTTGCCCTGCATGTTCTCAGGCTTTCAGATGCTATGCAGTCTACATTGTGTCTCCAACACAATCTTTTTTTTATTCCTCTAGATGGAAAGTACATTAATGGAAAAGGCAGGAGGGATTAAATGCTCCAGAGCAGCAGTATAAAACACTCTCCCACCTCCACAGGGTACACAACCCAACCCTGCAAAGGGAATTCAAATAACCCTTTACCTGAGATGCTCAAAACAAGTAGAGGTCAAACTTTCACTTGCTTTGAAGACAAAGTGCAACTGTTCAAATGCTACAAGATCAAAAGTAGCTTTTTCTGAAGTCGGCAATGATTTAATAGATGAAAACTGTCTAGGCTGGATTTGGAAAAGTTACAAACTACTCACTTCAGACCTTCTTAATATCCTGATGCCTGCTTACAGTAGCCAAATTGTCAGCAGGGAGAAGTTATATAACTAGAGTAAATTTTCCTACTGAGAATGAGAGAGGCTGCAAAATATCAGAAAAGGTCCACTTATAAGGATATTAACATACAAAACTGACTTTTTTTTTTTTTTAGATGGAGTCTTGCTCTATTGCCCAGGCTGGAGTACAGTGGCGTGATCTTGGCTCACCACAACCTCCACCTCCTGGGCTCAAGTGATTCTACTACCTCGGCCTTCTAAGTAGCTGGGACTACAGGTATGTGCCACAACACCTGGCTAATTTTATATTTTTAGTAGCAATAGGATTTTGTGACATTGTCCAGGCTGGTCTCAAACTCCTGAGCTCATGTGATCTACAGGCCATGGCCCCCCAAAGTGCTAGGATTATTGGTGTGAGCCACCATGCTTAACTGTGACTTTATTTTTCTTTTCTTTACAGAGACAGGGACTCACTATGTTGCCCAGATTGGTTCTGAACTCCTGTCCTCAAGTGATCCTCCTACCTCAGCCTCTCAAAGTGTTGGGATTACAGGTGTGAGCCACTGTGCTCAGCCGACATTTCTTAGATGGTCCACAATGTCACACTGTGGAAGTCTTTAAGGATTACAGATGTTGACTTCGGAACATACCTGGATGGAGATGATAGCCAGATTTGCTTGTTTGGCGTCTGCTTGTTGATCACATAAGTTCCGAGATCTCCACCCAGTTTAACAGTTAAGACACCACTCTAGGGAATTCGGCGGAAAAAAGCATGAAGAAATTAAAACAAGACAAAGTTGGCACTTTGTCATCATTGCTTCATGTTTTATCTCAACACTTGCCATTTCTACAAGTATACAATATATACCATAAAGAAATGTGTTTAATTTAGCATTTAGAAATAGGAGTTTGTGTAGAAAGAGCTTTGCTTTCAGAATCAGAATAGGATTAATCATAATAATGTTGTATCTTATAGAGCTTTCTCTGTTCCCTGTGAGGTCTGCAAAGTGAGAATGGTGATGAAGCTTGGAGACCTTAAGTGACTTGTCTGAGGTCCTGGTGCTGGCATCTGGGACTGGTGGTTTGTTGCCCTGTTATCAACCAGAACATACCAGAGGACAGTAAAAACTGCAGACTCTAACTCTATTAGAGTATCACATCAGCTCAAACATCAGACATGACAAGTCTATAACAGAAGAAGTAAAAGGAAGGAAAGAAGGACTCAAACCACCTGCTTTGCTTGTCTTAGAAGAGCATTAGCTTCAGCTCTGTTGGTAGAAGGCAGAAACTCCAGATTAAGTTTTTTATCTCCAGACCCTTCCCACGAATCTAACAAGCTACTCAGATACTCCTCCAAGGCTTTATTTTTCTCTAAAGAGCCTTGAATTTTTCAAAAGACTGGTTGGTCCATCTTTGACCAATAAACGCTCATTTAAATTTGAAAACACTCTTTCAACAAGAGTCCTTTACTCCTAAGGCCTGTGGTCTCTTTGGAATGGGTGGGATGTGAAAGAGACAGCTGCAGGGCTCAGTTCTCTGTATTGGAACTGGTAAGCAGGAGGGAGCCTGCTGTTCCCCATCTTGTGCGTGACTTGCAGAGATACACAGTGGCAGCCTTTTTCTGTGCATTCTAGAGTCTCCATCCAATTGAGAGGCCCTGAATGATTCTGACAACACACTTTTGCAAACACAGAGAGCTATTTAGGCCAGGCTTGGTGGCTCATGTCTGAAATTCCAGCACTTTGGGACGCCACGGCAGGCAGACTGCTTGAGCCCAGGAGTTTCAGACCTGCCCGGGCAACATGGCAAAACCCTGCCTCTACTAAAAATACAAAAATTAGCCTAGTGTGGTGGCGTGTGCCTGTGGCCTCAGCTACTCGGAAGGCTGAATTGGGAGGATCACCCGAGCCCTGAAGGTGAAGGCTGCAGTGAGCTGAGATCACACCACTGTACTCCAGACTAGGCGACAGAGTGAGACCCTGTCTCAAAAGCAAAGCAAAACAAAACAAAAAACCCCAAACACAAAGAGGCTACTTGTTTGTAATGCTCTTCTAAGACAAACGAAGCTATCTAAATGCCAGAGCGTAGTAACAATAATAATATAACTGATAGGAATGTGACAAGGGGTACTACTGGGTTATTTTTTTAATAACATTTTTTTCTGATTCAAAAAGAAATGTATAGAAATGATACAGATGTCAGCAACGCAGATAGCATAAAGAAAATGAAAACACTGATAAAAACATTAACCACTATTTACTCAGTTCCTGCTGTGCCAGGCTAGGTGTTTGGCACTTTGTGTAAATTGTTTCCAACTTGACTACAATTGTTGGAGGTAGAATTTATTATTCCAGTTTCACAGATGAGGAAAACAGAGGTTCACAGTATAGAGTACTTAGTAATTGGCAGAGCTAATCCAGGTCTGTATGGGTCCAAAGACACAGTTCTTTCTATAACACAAAGCATTCTCTCGATCCCATTATCCAGCAATAAAAGATATTCACTCTTAGGTATCAGCTGCCAGTTTTTGTTTGTTTTTTACAACAGGGTCTTGCTCTGTTGCTCAGGCTGCAGTAGTGCAGGATCATGGCTCACTGCAGCCTCAAATCCTTACGCTCAAGTGATCCTCAGCCTCAGTCCTTACCTCTGAGAGCTGGGACTACACGGCAGCTGGTAATTTGAACATTTTTCTTTTGTAGAGATGGGATCTCGCTATATTGACCAGGCTGTTTACAAACTTCTGGCCTCAAGTGGTCCTCCCATCTTGGCCTCCCAAAGTGCTGCGATTACATTACAGGTGTGAGCTACTGTACTTGGCCCCATAAAAAAAAAATTTATTACCGTAAAAAAGCATATAATGTTAAATTTGCCATATTAACCATTTTTAAGTGTAAAATATATTCACACTGCTGTGCAACATAACTCTAGAACTTTTTTGCAGAGATACACAGCAGCAGAGATACACTGAAACCCTATGCCCATTAGAAACTAACTTTCCTGCCCACAGCCGTTAGTAACCACCTGTCTACTTTCTGTTTCTATGATTTTGACTCGTCTGTTTTTTTAACTAACAAATAAAAATTATATATTTGTGGTGGTGTTTCTATGATTTTTGACTACTTTTGACTACTTCATGAGTGGAATCATAAGTATTTGTCCTTTTATGACTTGACTGCCAGTTTTTGAAAGGATTTTTTTTTAAAAGGGCTAGGATTGCTGGGTGCAGTGGCTCCTGCCTATAATCCCATTAGTTTGGGAGGCTGAGGCAGGTGGATCGCCTGAGGTTGGGAGTTCAAGACCACTCTTACCAAGCAGAGAAACCCCATCTCTACTAAAAAAAAAAAAAAAACAATTAGCCAGGCATGATGGCAAATGCCTGTAAACCCAGCTACTCAGGAGGCTGAAGCAGAGAATCCCTTGAACCTGGGAGGTGGAAGTTGCGGTGAGCTGAGATCCCGCCATTGCAGTCCAGCCTGGGCAACTTTGTCTCAAAAAATAAAAAATAATAAAAGGGCTAGGATTATACTATACATAAGTTTGTTTAAAAAACATTTTTTTTCCCTGAAATCCATTTTTACTGTTCTAGTATGACCATATTTCATTTATTGAACAGTTTCTTAAAACTGAGGCTGCATGTAGTGACTTATGCTTGTAATCCTGGCACTTTGGGAGGCCGAGGTGGGAGGATTGCTTGGGCCCAGGAGTTCAAGACCAGACTGGGCAACATAGTAAAATCTTGTTTTTACAAAAAAATTACAAATTCACTGGGTGTGATAGTGCGCACCTATAGTCACAGCAACTCAGTAGCTGAGGTGGGAGCATCGCCTGAGCCTGGAAGATTGAGGCTGCAAAACTAGTGATCACGCCACTACACTTCAGCCTGGGTGACACAGAGAACTTGTCTCAAAAATAAATAAACAAATATTTCTTAAAACTGTACACTTCAGGAGTTTTTAGTATTTCACAAAGTGTGCACACATCACTACTATCTAATTCCAGGCTATTGCCATTGTCCCAAAAAGAAACCCCGCATCCATTAACACTCCCCATTTCCCACTCAGCCCATACACAGAAAATTTTTCTTTTTTTTTTTGAGATGGAATCTCACTCTGTCACCCAGGCTGGAGTGCAATGGAGTGGTCTTGGCTTACTGCAACCTCTGCCTCTGGGTTCAAGCGGTTTTCCTGCCTCAGCCTCCCAAATAGCTGGGACTACAGGTGTGTGCCACCATACTAGGCTAATTTTTGTATTTTTGGTAGAGACAGGGTTTCGCTTTGTTGACCAGGCTGATCTCAAACTCCTGACCTCGTGATCTGCCTACCTCAGTCTCCCAAAGTGCTGGGATGACAGTGGTGAGTGAGCCATAGTGCCCGGCCAGAGTTTTATAAATTATTTTTCCATGAGATAAAAAGCTCAAAGAATCAACACACAATCATTGGTAATCTGTCCTCTTTGGGGATCCTAAATGACACAATTGTGTGTTGCACCCTATACTAGAAGGGCCACCATTTAGCAGAAAGGGCAGAGGATTGAGTACAAGAGGCGAGTTCCAGGTCCAGTCTCATTGCTGATCAGCGGTGGGCCCTGGGCAAGTCACATTCACCATGCCTGTCTCCCATGATCTCTCTCCTGCCTCCTTTAAGGACTCAGGGCAAGAACTTGGGGCTGATGCGAGCTCAAGGGCTCCATTCTTGTGTCCATCGCCACAATGCCTCAGCAGACAGTGAATCAGGGGGTGCACATGCAATCACTGAAGCCAAAACTGACTCTTTCCTATTAGAATTCGAAATCTTTTGAGTGACTCCAGGCATCAGGCCAGTCTTTCCCAAAGGGTATTTTTTTTTTTTTTTGGAGACAGAGTCTCATTCTCACCTAGGCTGGAGTGCAGTGGCTCAATCTCAGCTCACTGCAATCTCTGCTGCCTGGGTTCAGGTGATTCTCCTGCCTTAGCCTCCTGAGTATCTGGGATTACAGGCTCCTGCCACTGTGCCCAGCTGACTTTTGTATTTTTAGTAGAGATGGGGTTTCACCATCTTAGCCAGGCTGGTCTTGAACTCGTGACCTCGCGATCCACGCACCTTGGCCTTCCAAAGTGCTAGGATTACAGGCGTGAGCCACTGCACCTGGCCTTTCCGCCACCACAAAGGGCATAGTTATAAAACGAATGTGGGCCGGGTGCGGTGGCTCATGCCTGTAATCCCAGCACTTTGGGAGGCTGAGGCGGGTGGATCACGAGGTCAAGAGATTGAGACCATCCTGGTCAACACGGTGAAACCCCGTCTCTACTAAAAATACAAAAAATTAGCTGGGCATGATGGCATGTGCCTGTAATCCCAGCTACTTGGGAGGCTGAGGCAGGAGAATTGCCTGAACCCAGGAGGCGGAGGTTGCGGGGAGCCGAGATCGTGCCATTGCACTCCAGCCTGGGTAACAAGAGCGAAACTCCGTCCCCGGGAAAACAAAAACAAACAAACAAACAAACAAAAATGTGAGAACCCATCTAGCTCCACAGCTCTCAAGCTATTTCCATCCACTGGCACCTTCTCTGCAGTCCACTTCCTCCCTCTCCACACAAGACCCGCTCACCTCTACCCTGCTGCCCCTCTGTGGGTCCCACTGCCTCGTGGTGCTTCCTGCCTCTGCATTCAGAGCTGCCTGTCTGCCTGCTTGTTCCCTGGCCTCCACTACTTTAAGCACCTTGGTGGCAGGAGATTTGTCTTTTTATGCTAGCATCTCCAGGTCTAGCACCTCCATTCCTCCTGCAAAAAGGACATTTGTGGATAAATGACCAACTGGTCAAATGGTGAAAGAGTGGATGATGGTGGATGATGACCACGCACTGTGATGCCATCTGCCCAAGTTAAGGGCAAGTACACAGGGCAGAAAACCCCAATGCTCAACTTCCTCCCACCAGTCCACTCACTATAATTAGAATTTTCCCCCCACAGATCTTGGAACTATTTTGGGAGGAAAGTGGCAACAGGAAAGAAACTAGCTGCATTAGTTCAGCAGAAATTCTTAATGCTTTTGGAACTGACTAAAAATAGACCAGATAAAGAGGACTTTCTCTTCATTATTATTATTACTTAGACAATCTGAGTCTATTTTGGGAGTGTGCATGGCCTTAAGTGCAGGGGGATTGTTAAAATATGTAGCAGCTGCTGAGACACAGGCACTAGCCAATCAGCACAGGCAGTGGCCACAGCTTATAAATCTTATTGACTCCTCCTAATTAAGATCAGCCCTACCTAGCAGGAGCAAAAATAGTGATTCTACAGCTCACTTGTAGAAACAGACACATATAAGATGGCATGTTGAGTCAGGAGACTCACACACATATGACTTCCTACATTTCTAAAGTAGATACCAACTTGCTAGGATGTACTTTTACCTATGTCATTTTAACTGATCCTCATATAAACCTGAAGAGTGGAGGTTAATGTCATTCATTTCATAGCATGTGTGGGCAGAGTTTAGCCTGAGACTTGGTTTCCCTGCAGTTACTACAGGCTGTAGTAGAGGCTAGGGGAAGAGAAGGCCCTTAACTCTCCCACCTCTAAGCCTGTGGATGCTCAAGTTGGCAGGTTAGTTTGTAAGGGTTCCCAGCCCTCTAGGGCTGTCTGTGCAAGCACTTTTAAAGCCCTACCTAGACATTTCCTGGTATTAGTTAATTGCCATCAAGAGGATTAACATCTTCAAGGGGCCTGGAGTAGTGGCTCATGCCTGTAATCCAAGCTCTTTGAGAGGCTGAGGTGGGAGGATTGCTTGAGTTCAGGAGTTTGAGACCAGCCTGGCCAAACATGGTAAAGCACTGTTTCTACTAAAAATACAAAAATTAGCTGGGTGTGGGGGTATGTGCCTGTAATCCCAGGTACTTGGGAGGATGAGGCAGGAGAATTGCTTGGAACCCGAGAGACAGAGGATGCAGTGAGCTGAGATCGCGCCATTGCACTCCAGCCTGAATGACAGAGAGAGACTCCATCTTAAAACAAACAAACAAACAAAACCATCTTCGAGGGATTTTCTCCCACTGGCAAAAAAAGAACTACTCTAAGGCCTAAGCGATAATTCTAAACCAAAAGGCAGACCCTTGCTCAAATCTGCCACCTGGTGGCCAGTCGATAAAGAACAACACTTCCCTGGCTTCTAGGATCTGGGGCTAATGTTTCATCCAACTTAGAAGTTCTCACACCAGGCTGGACTTGATAGCTCACGCCTGTAAGCCCAGCACTTTGGGAGGCTAGGGGAGGGCAGATCATTTGCAGTCAGGAGTTCAAGACCAGACTAACCAACATGGTGAAACCCTGTCTCTACTAAAACGCAAAAATTAGCTGGGTGTGGTGGCAGGAGCCTGTAATCTCAGATACTTGGGAGGCTGAGGCAGGAGAATCATTTGAACCCAGGAAGTGGTGGTTGCAGTGAGCTGAGATCATACCACTGCACTCCAGCCTGGGTAACAGAGTGAGACTCGCTCAAAAAAAAAAAAGTTCTCATACTAGCTGCACATTAGAATCATCTGTGGAGCTTAAAAATCCATGCCCTGCTCAGACCATGCCACACCCCAGACCAAGTAATCAAAATCTCTAGGAATGAAACCTAGGGATACATATTAGAATTCCAGGTGAGCTTTTCAAAAATATGCTTCCCAGAAATGTACCCTGACCTACCCCATCACTGTCTCACAGAAGCAGGGCTCAAGTCCTTGTAATCTGAATAACTTGGGCAATTATCTTACCCCTGCTGAAGAACTATGGGTCTAGTTTGGTGTTCCTATGCACGCCTGCTTGACAAACACACACTCAGGCCCCTTTCTGATTTGTCTTCATGGTATCCAGTGAAGCTGGAAAATGAGGCTAAGAGAGGCTGAGTGACTTGCCCAGCATCACAACAAGCCTGGTAGAGGTATGCTGCAGCTCAAACCCTAGTATTTATTTTTTTTTTGAGATGGAGTTTTGCTTTTGTTGCCCAGGCTGGAGTGCAATGATGTGATCTCGGCTCACTGCAACCTCCACCTCCCGGGTTCAAGTGATTCTCCTGCCTCAGCCTTCTGAGTAGCTGGGATTACAGGCATGTACCACCATGCCCGACTAATTTTGTATTTTTAGTAGAGATGGGGTTTCTCCACATTTGTCAGGCTGGTCTCGAACTCCCGACCTCAGGTGATCCACCCACCTTGGCCTCCCAAAGTGCTGGGATTACAGGCGTGAGCCACTGCACCCAGCCAAACCCTAGTCTTTTAATCCTACCCACAGCTCCATGCTACTTGATGCTTAGCTCTGCTGGAGGGGAATTCTTCATTTGAGTAACTAAAATTCTAGGGGAGAAACAGAAAAATTAAAAGAAGTTGACAGGTACCCCAAAGGAAACATCATAGTCTTCAAATGTGTATGGCTTGTCTGCAAGGTCTTCAAAAAACTCTGCTAAGGAGTCCAGCGTTTCCTCTGCTAGTCTTTCATAGGTGGTCTCATCTAGAGAGCTGTGGGAGAAGCACAAAACCCAAAACATATGATTACCAAATGCTTCCATTTTGTTAATATCAAATGTATACTTTTGTTTTTTATTTAAATGTATTGAATTGATGAAAACAACTTGCAAAAAGTAAAAAAAAATTTTTCAAGATGGAGTCTCACTCTCTCAGGCTAGAGTGCAGTGGCATGATCTCAGCTTACTGCAACCTCTGCCTCCCGGGTTCAAATGATTCTCCTGCCTCAGCCTCCCAAGTAGCTGGGATTACAGGCATGTAGCCACCATGCCTGGCTAATATTTGTATATATATTTTTTTTAGTAGGATGGGGTTTCACCATGTTGGCCAGGCTGGTCTGGAACTTCTGACGTCAAGTGATCCATGCGCCTCGGTAGTGGCACCTGGATCCATGTGCCTCTTGAAGTGTTAGGATTACAAACGTGAGGCACCTTGCCCAGCCAAAGTAAAAACTTAAATAGCACAGAAGGGATTACAGAAAGAAGCAGGCAGCCCCCATCCCCAGATGCAACTACAATTAATAGTCTTTTCTGGGCCAGGCAGGAAGGTGGCTCACACCTGTAATCCCAGCACTTTGGGGGGCTGAGGTAGGCAGATCACCTGAAGTCAGGAGTTTGAAACTAACATGGCCAATGTGGCGAAACCCCATCTCTATTCAAATTCAAAAATTATCATGTCCTTTGCAGGGACATGGCTGAAGCTGGAAATCATCATTCTCAGCAAACTAACACAGGAACAGAAAACGAAACACCGCATGTTCTCACTCATAAGTGGGAGTTGAACAATGAGAACACATGGACACAGGGAGGGGAACATCACATACCAGGGGCCTGTCAGGGGTAGAGGGTAAGAGAAGGGAGAGCATTAGGACAAATATCTAATGTGTGCAGGGCTTAAAACCTAGATGACGGGATGGTAGGTGCAGCAAACCACCATGGCACATGCATACCTATGTAACAAACCTGCACGCTCTGCACATGTATCACAGAACTTAAAGTATAATTTTAAAAATACAAAAATTAGTTGGGCATGGTGGTGTAACCTTGCAGTCCCAGCTACTCGTGATGCTGAGGCACAGGAATTGCTTGAACCTGGGAGGCAGAGGTTGCAGTGAGCTGAGATCACGCCACTGCACTCCAGCCTGGATGACAGAGCCAGCCTGTCTCAAAAAAAGAGTCGTTTCTGTATCCTTCTATCTTCATATTCTTTTTAATACACAAATGAAACATTTTGCATTTTTCACTAATTCTGTCTTAGAAATTGTTCTATATAAGCACCTATGGATTTTTATAATATTTAATTTTATGTTATTTATCCAGTTCTCTTCAGCCGGATACAAGGGATGCTTCCATTGCTTTTGTTATTAAAGTTTTGCTTTTGCCCAAATTTTGTTGGGCAAATCACAAAGTGGGAGAAAATATCTGCATTACATACATCTGAAAAATGATTCATCCAGAATATATAAAGAACACCGGCTGAGTGTGATGGCTTACACCTGTAATCTCAGCACTTTGGGAGGCCGAGGTGGGCAAATGACCTGAGGTCAGGAGTTTGAGACCAGCCGGACCAATATGGTGAAACCTTGTCTCTACTAAAAATACAAAAATTAGCTGGGCATGGTGGCACACGCCTGTAGTTCCAGCTACTCAGGAGGCTGAGACAGTAGAATGGCTGAAATTCTGGAGGGGGAGGTTGCAGTGAGCCAAGATTGTGCCACTGCACTGCAGCCTGGGAGACAGAGTGAGACTTCGACTCAAAGAAAAAAGTAGCTGGGCGCAGTGGCTCATGCCTATAATCCCAGCACTTTGGGAGGCTGAGGCAGGTGGATCATAAGGTCAAGAGTTCGAGAGCAGCCTGACCAACATGATGAAACCCTGTCTCTACTAAAAATACAAAAATTAGCCAGGCATGGTGGTACGTAATCCCAGCTACCCAAGAGGCTGAGGCAGGAGAATCGCTTGAACCCAGAGGTGGAGGTTGCAGTGAGCCGAGATGGCGCCACTGCACTCCAGCCTGGGCAACAGAGCTAGACTCCATCTCAAAAAAAAAAAGGTAATTTGATTCAGTTAATGCTGTCGCTGTTTACTTCTGCTAAAGATATGATCAGATTTCATTAGTAATGTTCAACTTTTCACAAAGATGGTGAATGCCATCTTAAAACCTATTGGAGATTGTTTTTATATTTAGATTTATATAACTGGTTATGTAAATATATTTAAATATTGGGGGAAATTCCACTATCTCAGAACCAGGCAAGATTCCATGCATTTTGTGTTTATTTGTGTCTTAAAGGCAAGGGCTAAAGGTAAGGTAGCAATGTCTACTTTGTAGTTTTGGCCTTAACTGTACCAATCCAATTAGAATTTTCTGTATCTAATTGGTTCATTTTACTTATTGAAAGACATTTTAGTGTGGTTTATGTGTAATATCAAATAAATATTATTTAACACTTCTCACATTAAAAAAAGAAAAAGAAAAAGACAGATTATATCAAGAGGTGGCCATGGGCTGGGTACAGTGGCTCACGCCTGTAATCCCAGCACTTTGGAAGGTCAAGGCAGAAGGATCACTTGAACCCAGGAGTTTGAGACCAGCCTGGACAACAGAGTGAGACCCTGTCTCTACAAAAAACTGGAAAATTAGCTCAGAAGCCTGAGGTGGGAGGAATCATTTGAGCCAGCAATGTCAAGGCTGCAGTGAGCTGTGATCACACCACTGCATTCCATCCTGGGTGACAAAGTGAAACCCTGTCTTTAAAGTAAAATAAAATAAAATCAAAAAGAGCTGGCCAAGCAAAGAAACAACTAGACTTTTCAGATACTGCTGATAGGCAAGTACATTGGACAATCACTTGAAAAACTGTTGGACAGTATCTACTAAAGTTGAATGCATTTACAAGCTATGACCCATCAATTCCACTCTTAGGGGGTACACCCAACAAAAATGTGTACTCAGGTTCACCAAAACACATGACTATACTAAAATAAACTATCCTATAGCACCGAACTGGAAACATCCAAGTATTCCTTTGCAATACTGTAGAAAAATAAACCGTGGTATACTCATATAATGGAAAAGTACACTGCAAAATAGAACTGTCTATAGGAACAGTATGGATGAATCTCACAAACATCATTGTGATAGAAAGAAACTATACACAAACATGTCTATACTTAATGAGAGTTTATATAAAGTAAAAAGCAGGCAGAACTAATCTATGCTATTGGTAATCAGAATAGTAGTTATTCTGAGGGTTAATGACTAGAAGGAAGAGAGGGAAGGGTTGATGACTAGAAGTGAGCAGGCAGCTGGCTTGCAGGGGCTGGTAACATTCTATTTCTTGAGCTTACATGAGTATGTTCATGGGAACGTTTGGTTTTTGCAAATTCATCAAGCTGTATGCTTGTGACTGGATACATTTCCTTATAGATACTATTTTTCAAATTTAAAATTACTTTAAATCCACAGAGACAGAAAGTAGATTAGTGATTGCTGGGTTCTAGGGAAAGGTGGAATGGGGAGTGATTGCGAATACAAATAGGGTTCCCTTCTGGAGTAATAAAAATGTCCTGAAATTAGTGGTGACACCTGCACAACCTCATGAATGCACTAAAAACCCTTGTATTATTATACATTTTAAAATGGTGAGTTGTATGGCATGTAAATTATAACAAAAATATTATTATAATAAACATTCTTATAAAAGCTTTTGTGCCCATGTGAGGATGTATTAATATCTATAGGTTATAAGATATGTATCAGACAACTCTACTAACTGAAAGTTTCCAAGGGACCTAACGTAAAATACCAGGAGCTGCTGGACAATTACTGTAAGACTTGCTGGACAATTACTGTAAGATGTGCCATATGACTCCCTTCCCCACTCAGTCCATTACCCATTTCAAGGAAACAATGTGGGGAAGGCTAGCTGATTGGATTGGTGAGGGGCTGTCCTTTAAAAAGAGTGGGTGGCCTGATATGGTGTGTTCTGAGAGTGAGCTGGACAGAATGGGTAGGAGAGGTTGGTTGATATGTGTCTTGAAGAATCTGAGAAACATAAAAACACAACTAGCTTTATACCTGACAGTTATAAAGTCCAAAGTAAAGAGGTTGGAGGTTACCTGCCAGCAGACAGTTGGGCCCTGGCAGAAGCAGGTTATCTTCCTCCACATGGCAGGTCAAGGGTGTGCTTCCCAGAGGCCAGAGGGAGCTGGACTTGGGGCATCCTGCAAGGGCCCTAGCCAGCCTCCCAGGACTGCCGGAAGGGGTAAGGGGAAAGAAGCAGAGAGTCTGCTGGGGGAGGAATGCTGGAAGCTGGAGCTGGAAATGGGTGCCACCAAAGCAAAAACCTCAAACATGCAGCATGCAGTGCCCCTTTGAGACTGTGGCAGGGTTGATGAACAGACACAGCAGGCTGGGAGGCTCAGAGGCTCTTCAGACCTTGTGAGTCATGCATAGCCCTCTGGAAATCTGAGTCTCAGATAACCTGGAGGGTCAGCAGAATGCCTACTGAGCATACAGCTCTGGGGACAGTTAGAAGGTTCCTGAATATGGGTGGCTTCTTATTGCTTTTAGCAGATGCAACAAGAAAAGAGGAAGCCAAGAGAACGCTGCACAAACATAGAAAGTCAAAGGGAAAATCCAAGGCTTTTTTTTTTTTTTTTTTTTTTTGAGACGGAGTTTTACTCTTGTTGTCCAGGCTGGAGTGCAATGGTACGATCTCAGTTTACTGCAGCCTCCGCCTCCCAGGTTCAAGCAATTCTCCTGCCTCAGCCTCTTGAGTAGCTGGATTACAGGTGCCCACCACCACTACTGGCTAACTTTTTGTATTTTTAGTAGAGACAGGGTTTTGCCATGTTGGTCAGGCTGGTCTTGAACTCCTGGCCTCAGGTGATCTGCTTGCCCCAGCCTCCCAATGTTCAGGGACTACAGGCATGAGCCACTATGCCCAGCCAGAGAAACTAAGGCTTTGAACAGCAAAGGCCAAACAAGGGACCCAATCCTGCTGCAAAAACCAGGTTGAGGGCATTGCTGGTCCCCAATCTTATCGTTTAACAGAACCTCAAGGTGCCTGCCCTTAGGCTGACAGAGCTGGGCATGGGAGCATGCAAGGAGATAAGGCAGCCTGAGGCTCCCATCCAGGGAGGAAATTTGGATGTGGTTCCTGGCACATAGGACTGCCTGAGGGAAAACTCTACTCTAAAAGAAAAATGAGTCTGTGCTGGGCGTGGTAGCTCATGCCTTTAATCCTAGCACTTTGGGAGTCCTAGATAGGTGGATCACCTAAGGTCAGGAGTTTGAGACCAGCCTAGCCAACATGGTGAAATCCCATCCCTACTAAAAATACAAAAATTAGCTGGGTGTGGTAGTGTACGCCTATAGTTCCAGCTGCTCAGGAGGCTGAGGGAGAAGAATTGCCTGAGTCTAGGAGGCGGAGGCTGCAGTGAGCTGAGATGGCACCACTGCACTCCAGCCTGGGTGACAGAGTGAGATTTCATCAAAAAAAAAAAAAGAAAGAAAGAAGAAAAATGAGTCTGGCCCAAAATAGCCTACTGGAGTCTTAAAACAGGCTGTAGAACCCCAAACTGTTATCAGCATGAAGTAGACAGGGAAGGCTGCTCTCCCCCAAGGAGGGCACACTTCGCACTGGCTGCCTCCCCTGTGGCCAAGGAAAGTAACAGACAAGCAGGAGCCGCCAGGGAGGCTGAAGCAGGGATTTGTGGAGGAGCAAGCTCTGCTGTCCAGCAGGGCTCCACTGCTGCGGGGTGGAGGTGGGAGCCAGGCTGTGCCTCTTTTCTAAATAGAGTTACAGTTGCAGACTGTCTCTATCGTGTGCGTGCGTGTGCGTGTGTGTGTCCCCGTGTTTCTGTGTGTAGCGCAGAAGACGTCATTCCTAAAGTTGAGAAAGAGGAGACTGACTGTCACCTGGAAATCTTGGACTCGGAGGTAGCTGCGGTGACCACATGGCCATCGGTTGGCTTTCTTGGGGCTGGGGGTAAATGCATCTGAGTGTGGAAGGAGGGTCCATGCAGATACTGGTTGGCAGGGGGTAGACTGCAGCCGTGCCTGACAGCTTTCCACGGGGAATCATTGCTGGCTTCTTCCAGGGCACTCATTAGACTATATTTCCCAGCCTCCCTTATGGTTAGCTAAGGCCATGCCACTAAAGTTCTTCTCACCAGAATGTGAGTGAGGAACAAGTGGCACTTCCAGCCCTTCTGTGCTTCTAGCCCTTCTGGGAAATGGAACTTGGACAAGGTGACTGAGACTCAACAATGTAGAGGGCAGTAAGGCACTGACAGATAAGGTCTGAACCGGCAGCTGGAAGGAGTGTAGTTCCTAATTCATTTTTTTTTTTTTTTTTAATAAAAAAAAAAATTTTTTTAGAGATGGGGTCTTGCTATATTGCCCAGGCTGGAGTACAGTGGCTATTCACAGGCGCGAATCCCACCTCTGATCACCACGGGAGTTTTGACCTGCTCTGTTTCTGACCTGGGCCGGTTCACCCCTCCTTAGGCAACCTGGTGGTCTCCTGCTCCCAGGAGGTCACTGTATTGATGCCAAACTTAGTGCAGACACTGATCGGCATAGCGCACTACAGCCCAGAACTCCTGGGCTCAAACAATCCTCTCACCTCAGCCTCCTGAGTAGCTGGGACTACAGGCACACGCCACCGCACCCAGCTCCTAATTCATTTCACGAGGGATGCCAACCCTGGACTGGCCAGAGAGGAGGACACAAACATTGGTTTGGGCCATTATATTTTTGGGTCTAATGTTAAAGCAGCATGGCCTGCCCTAACTATTAGGATATTGAATAAAATGGTATCAAAACTCTGGAAACAACCTGAATGTCCAACAATAGGGGATAGGTTAAGTGGATTACATCACATACATACAAACTAATACTATTTCGTAAAAAATTATGTGGAGGATACTCAGTCACATAGAAAGACACCTATGATTGTTACAGTCAAAAGAAAACAGGTTCTTATGGGAGAGGAAGAGGAGGGAGGAAGACATCTCTGACGTGCAAGGTGTTTCATCTTACCCTGGGTGACCCAAAGTTCCCGTTTTCCTCAAATTCATCAAATAGGCACTCTGCTTTTTGACATTCTGAATCTGGTTGAGACCACGGAGATTCAAACTCTGAAAGTCAAAGTTAAGAAATACGTTACTATTTTTCAGTGAATTACAATCCATTAATGCATAATTTATATATTGCTACTTCTACATACAAGAGTGCCCAATTTTTTCTAAGAAAAGGAGAATGTGTTACTTTTCTTTAAAAAATGTATCCTCTCTTCTTTTCTTCTCTCCCCTAGCTCCCAGTTTCCTTCTTAGCCCTTCAGCAATGCAAATATAACCTTTCACTTCCCCGTCAACAGACATTCCCTGCAGGGCAAGCTTTTCTAACTGTGTGCTCTTCCAGAGCGCAGATCTCTCCTCCAATTGACAGTAGATTTGCAGACCAAAGTAATACCACCTTGGAACTTTCATCTCCAGGGGGTGGCCTGGAACTTCCACCCTCAGGGATGCCTCAGTGCATATACTGAAAGCATGCCCACTTGGCCACTGCTACAGCTTATTTCTACCCAGAAAGGTGCCAAGTCAACTGTCCTATAGTGTAGGCATGGAGCTAGCAGAGGGACCCCCGTCACTTGCCCTTGCGCCCTTCCCCTCCTATCTTATAAAAAAGGGTCCACTTTCTGTTCCAAAGGGGAAGCAACACTTTTAAAGAAAGGGAGGACACTTTGTACCCTTTACCCAAGTTTCAGAATAAATTCACTTTTTTTTGGTACCAGGCCTTGCTCCTGTTGTTAATTGGACTCTGCATCCCGCGAGCAACTAAGCTGCGTTTCGGTTACATAATCATGCTGAAGTTTTTTTTTTGGTTTGCTTTTGTTGTTTGTTTCTGAGACAAAGTCTCGCTCTGTCACCCAGGCTGGAGTGCAGTGGCACGATCTCAGCTCACTGCAAACCCCTGCCTGCTGGGTTTAAGTGATTCTTGTGCGTAAGCCTCCCGTGTAGCTGGAACTACATACAGGTGCCCGCCACCATGCCTAGCTGATTTTTGTATTTTTAGTAGAGACGGGGTTTTACCATATTGGCCAGTCTGGTCTCAAACTCTTGGCCTCAAGTGATCTGCCCTCTCAGCTTCCCAAACAGCTGGGATTAACAGGTGTGAGCCACTGCACCCAGCCCTATGTTAAAGTTTTTCAGGAATATTTCTTAGGATTTTTTTTGACTTTGTTTTAGGGCATTACGGTGAGTTCTCCCTGTGTCTCTCTAAGCCCGTGTTGTCCAACAGGCTAGCCAACAAGCCACATGTAGCTATTTACATTTAAATTTTTGTTGGAGATAAAACAAAACCAAATCAGCTCCTCAACTGCACCAGCAGTTTTAAGAACCCTGTGGCCACAGGTGGCTAGTGGCGCAAACACAGCATTTCCATCACATCAGAAAGTTCTCCTGGGGGGCTACTGCAGGCTGTTGAGGCTACAGGGTGGTTAGCAGGAGGCTGGGAGGCATCCACAATGCTCTTAAAAGGTCACTAAGAGAAGCAACAGGAAATAGCAAGAGGCAGAAGCCTGCTGAAGTCCAGAAGATTGGCTCGGACTGCTGACTGCTGTCTGACAGATCTTATTAGCATGATCTGCAGGAGAGAATGTGACCTGTTAATTGTTTTTAGTCCCTAACTGCTGAACATACAGACGACAGGGTCTGAGTTGATTACCATCAGCTCTGCTGACCAGCAGGGGAGATGAAGGAAATAATCAGACAAGAGCCAGTGGGGCACAAGAGTGGTGCAGCTGGAGTGGAGAGATGCAGGGGATGTGACAGCGGACTTGATGGAGTGAGGCGGGGACGGCCTCGGGCCTTGCCAAGGACCCCAGCTGGACGTCATCCTGGGAAGGCACCAAAGGGCTTTAAGAGGTTGGTGATAAGATTTACATTCTCCAAAGGTCACTGGTTGCCATGGAGAGAAGGGGTGAGAGACTGTTAGTTACTGCTCTTGAGCCAGCAGTACCCTTGGCAAACTCAGAAAAGAGAAGGCAGAAGGCACAGGGCTGAGAAGTGAGTGGAGGAGGAAACAGGCTTGGGGGCAGAGGAAGGGGAGGTGGGGGGCAGAGCGCAGACCTTAGAAACACAGGGCTCTGAAGGAAAAGTGAGAGTGCAGCTCCATGATAACCACCGTTAAGCTATCACACATTCTAGAGTGTTCTCCATCTGCTTGACACTGCTCTCAGCCTTTACATAAATGGACTGTCCTCATTACAATCCTGTGACGGACATACTCTTATTACAGTCCTTATTCTTGATAGTTTTGTGCTAGAAAGTTGCCACAAACACTTAATGAGCAAATTACTTATAGGAAAAATACAAGGCTAGGTCCCTGTAAGCCACTGGTCACAACATTGTTACCAATCGATCAATACATAACCTTATTTCTGTTTAAGGACATCTTATGTGTGTGTATATATATATAGTTGATCCATTAACACTGATCTTGGCTGGGCATGGTAGCTCAACCCTGTAATCTCAGCACTTTGTGAGGCCAAGGTGGGAGGATTACTTGAGCTCAGGAGTTTGAGATCAGCCTGGGCAACACAAAAAGACTTCATTTCAACTTAAAAAATCAAAAACATAAGGGTGGGCATGGAGGCTCATGCCGTAATCCCAGCACCTCGGGAGGCTGAGGCGGTGGATCACTTGAGGTCAGAAGTTCTAGCCTGAACAGAATAATAAAACCCCATCTCTACCTAAAATGCAAAAATTAGCCAGGCATTATGGCACATGCCTGTAATCCCACCTACTCAGGAGGCTGAGGCGGGAGAATTGCTTGAACCTGGGAGGTGGAGGCTGCAGTGAGCCAAGATTGCACCATTGCACTCCAGCCTGAGTAATAAGTAAAACTCTGTCTCAAAAATAAAATAAAATAAAAAACATTAGCTGGACTACACCTGTAGTCCCAGCTACTCAAGAGGCTGACGCGGGAGGATTGCTTGAGGCAGAGAAATAGAGGCCATAAGTGAGCTATGATTACACCATTGCACTTCAGCAGCCTGGGCAACAGAGCCTGTCTCAAACAACAGCAACACATTAATTGCTCTCAGGACAACAGCACCTTAACTCATGCCTGAACAAAGCTTCTCTAACACATGCATTTTCTCTGTGAGGAACATCACAGCCTCTTCATGCTGAACTTTGCATTGCACTTGGAGACAATTTTAACCGACCAAAAAAAAAGTACAAAAATGTGAAAAACATGGCACTAACCAGACTGTGAAAAGGACACTTGCTTGCACTATGACAGCTGATATAAGAAGGCAGGGCAGCACTTTGTCGGACCTTGGCTGGGAACACGCACCTGGTGGAGCTCACATTTTTTTGCTGCTCTGCACATATCTTTGAAGCAACCACAAAAGGGCCAGGGGTATTGATTTTGGGGTAATAAATTTTAGCAAGTCGCAAATTCACAAATACAGAATCTTAACGAATGAGGATCAACTACAGTTGTGTTTTACAGATGAGGAAACTGAGGCACCAAAGGGTCACGTGCCTATACAGATACAGAGATATCAAGTGGCAGGGCTGGGACCGAACCCAAGCTGTCTGGCCCCAGAGTCTGTGCACAGAGAAAGGAATTGTTTTTCCGGGAATCAGAGCAGTGCTCGAAACATCCAAGAAAAAGTGTCTGAGAATGTTGGGTTCACCTTGGGGAAGTTCCCTTCTCTCCAGGATCCCGGACCCTTGAACCTTAGATGTCTTAGTTATCTTAGCTGATACCTTCACACAGCTGGTTTTCGTTTTCTTGTTTTTTTTTTTTTTTGAGACAGAGTTTCGCTCTTGTTACCCTTACCCAGGCTGGACAGGCTGGAGTACAATGGCGCGATCTCGGCTCACTGCAACCTCCGCCTCCTGGGTTCAGGCAATTCTCCTGCCTCAGCCTCCGGAGTAGCTGAGATTACAGGCACGCGCCACCATGCCCAGCTAATTTTTTGTATTTTTAGTAGAGACGGGGTTTCACTATGTTGACCAGGATGGTCTCGATCTCTTGACCTCGTGATTCACCTGCCTTGGCCTCCCAAAGTGCTGGGATTACAGGCTTGAGCCACCACGCCCAGCCTACTTTTTTTAAAGATGGGGTTTCACCATGTTGGTCAGGCTGGTCTTAAATTCCTGACCTCAGGTGATCCGCCCGCCTTGGCCTCCAAAGTGCTTGGATTACAGGTGCGAGCCACTACGCCTGGCTTGTTTTGTGTGTGTGTTTTAATTTAATAGAGATTTGATGGTTGTTATTGGTGGGAGGTTTGGTCAAATGTAGGTCAATGTAAGTTACTCATTCACAGCCAGAAACAAGTCTTTCTTCGACTGTGTTTAATCATAAAAAAGAACCATTGCCAAATACTCCTTACTTTATATCTTACCTGCTTTTGCCAATTTAACATTCCTTGGGCAACTGCTAAGCCTTTTGGAACCTCAGTTTCCTCCTCTGAAGGGATCATGGTACTCACAACAAACCTTGTAACTGTGAGCATAAAACAAGAGAACAGAAATACCCCGAATACAGAGCCTGAGGCTGTTCAGGTTCTGAACAAAAGCATGGAGACCTAGGTCAGAGGTACACTTTAGCTTCCGCCTAAGGGAGGCTCCATTCTGTTCTGCTTGAGGGAGGCAGAGCTCAGAGGTTAAGGTCATAGGATGAGTGTTGTTTTTAAAGTCACCCAGCAGCCACCTCTCCCTCTAACTCTAGGTCACCCATGAGCCTTGGACCACATGTCATGGTAGGCTTGCCTACCTTGAGTCTTCAGATGTGTGTGCTCATGCACACAGTTCTGGCTCATGGGATACATTTGAGGAAATAGTAGATAGTTTCTGGGCCTAAACTCTCAGGCCCATGGGTCAGGAACTACCTGACCCAATCATTTCCTGACCCAATCATCGCCCACTCCCTGATAAGGACTGGCCTTGGTGGCCAGCTTTCCTTCCCAGATGTCCCTTTGTATCCCCAGCCCTGTCAAACCACAGCACTTGAAGAGCGAATCAGGACTCATGCCTTGCAGGGGGAGGATGAACTGGTACAGATACTTTTGGCATCAAATGAGTAATTATTGGCTGGCCCTTTGCCTAGCAATTCCATTCTGAGGAATTCACCCGAAAGGAACTTCTGTCCATGCACAAAAACACTCACAGCAGCACCATCGTAACAAAAGAACACCGCAATCAACCAAATGTCACCTAAAGGAGCCTGGATAGTGTGATATATTCACCCAAATGGATACTCCAGCAATGAAAACAAATAAATGACAACTGCATACATCAATGCTGACGATGTTCAAAATCAGTATTGAACCGATTTTGTGTTGAACTCCCCCTGTAAGGCATAGTCCCGATTCATTCTTCAACTGCTGTGGTTTGACAGGGCCTGGGCAACAAGGGGACACCTGGGAAGGAAAGCTGGCCTCCCTGTTGGCCACCCAGGCCAGTCCTTACTAGCCATAGCAGAATTGATACAGCAGAACGCCTTGTATATAAATAATACATAGCTTGAGGGAGATACAGAGAAGGTCAAACTCTAAGAAAAGGAGGGTATGATTAACAGAATTCAGGCGGCAGATTCCTCCAGGGAGGATGGGGCAGTGATGGGGTGAGCACAAGGGCCTCCTGAGGAACAAACAAATTCTATCTCTTAACCTGGTATTATGGATACAAGTATTTGTTATTTTCTTAGCTTGGATGCTATAACAAAATACCAGCCACTGGGTGGCTTATAAACAGTAGAAATGTGTTTCTCGGAGTCCTGGAGGGTGGGAAATCCAAGATCAATGCACCAACAGCTGTGGAGTCTGGTGAAGGCCATTTTCCAGATTCACAGATGATGCCTTATCACTGTGTAAGGGTGAACAAGCTCCCTTGGGCTATTTTACAAGGGCACTAATCCCAATCACATGGGCTCCACCCTCAAACCTCATCACCTCCCAAGGGTCCCATCTCCTAATATCACTTTGGTGACAAGGTTTTAACATGTGAATGATGGGGTGACACAAACATTCAGACCATAGCATTTATTATTAGTTTTAAGCAGTATAAATATTTATATATCTTTTTAAATGTATAAACTTGTGTAATTGTCTGCAAGGCAGTAAAAATGATTTGAAAGTGAGTGAGGTTATAACCTGCTTATTAGGCCTAAAGTCAAAAGGTCATAGGGTCAGGGTGATGGTCTTGTCCCTCTAGGAAAATGGACAGATGTCTAAAAGCTGTCCAAGGCATGCAGAATTGGATGCCTCAGGAACTTACTGAGTTATATATGAGGCCGTATGCTACGGTCTGAATGTCTGTCATCTCTGAAACTCATGTTGAAACACGATTCCCAATGTGGCAGTATTGAGAGTCGGGGCCTTTAAGAGGTGACTGAGTCATGAAGACTCTTCCCTCACGAATCGATTAATCCATTCATCGATTATCCAATAATATTAATCCAATAATTAATCCAAATATTAATGCATTCATAGATTAATGGGTTATCATGGGAGTGGAACTAGTTAGGCTTTATAAGAAAAGAAAAAGAGACCTAGGGAGCACACTCAGCCCCTTACCATGTGATGCCCCGTGCCGCCTCAATACTCTGCAAGGTCGCCACTAGCAAGAAAGGCACCTTGACCTTGGACTTCTCAGACTCCAGAACAATAAGAAAAAAATTCTTTTTCTTTATAAATGCCCAGTTTCAGGCATTCTGTTATGAGCAACAGAAAATGGACTAAGACACATCCAGTTTTCTCCTCATCGAAGGTGTCTCTAGTATTTAAGGGGAAACGTTAATGAAGCCCCTGTCACATCCCTCCATCAAAAAACACAGGCTGTCTCTTGGAACCAGAGTCCTTCCCAGCCTCCGGTGGGTAAGCCTGGGGCTGGGGACTGTGGAACTGTGCTCTTAAAAGCCATTTCTGTGGATTCTGGGTTCTGCTGAGTAGCCAGAGCTGAGAAACAACGATCAGGCACGAAATATGCTGTCCTGTGTGACGGTCAACAGCCCTCATGGTTACTAGAAATGTGGCTAGTGGGACTGAGGACCGGGATCTTCAATTTAATTTTAATTATTTGAAGTGATAATAGAGTTATTAGGAGATTTTTCTTCTTTTTTTTAAGATGGAGTCCCACTCTGTCATCCAGGCTGGAGTGCAGTGGTATGGTCTCGTCTCACTGCAACCTCCACCTCCTGGGTTCAGGCGATTCTCCTGCCTCAGCCTCCTGAGTAGCTGGGATTACAGGCATCGGCCACCACACCCGGCTTATTTTGTATTTTTAAGAGAGACGGGGTTTCTCCATGTTGGTGAGGCCAGTCTCGAACTCCCGACCTCAGGTGATCTGCCTGCCTCAGCCTCCCAAAGTTCTGGGATTACAGGCGTGAGCCACCCCACCTGGCTATTACTATGGTTTTTTTGTTTGTTTTTTGTTTTTGAGACGGAGTCTCGCTTTGTCAGCCAAGGCTGGATCTTGCAGTTAGCGACGATCTTAGCTCGCGGCAACCTCTGCCTCCTGGGTTCAAGCAATTCTGTCTCAGGATTACAGGTGTGTGACACCACACCCGGCTAACTTTTTTTTTTTTTCTTTTTTGGTATTTTTAGTAGAGACAGGATTTCACCATGCTAGCCAGGCTAGTCCTGAACTCCTGACTTCAGGTGATCCACCTGCCTAGACCTCCCAAAATGCTGAGATTATGGGCGTGAGCCACCGCGCCCTGCTGGGAAATTCATTTTCTAAGTCCCAACTTTTAAGCACTGGCAACGAATCCCAAAGTTTCTTCCAACACAATGTGGGCCAAATAACACGCGTCAGTGGGAAGTTTAAGCCTAAAGTACAAACTCCGGAGCCCAACACAAATATGGGTTGGACATAGCCTGCCTCCTTCATCTCCCCCAATACATGCACGCACCAACTACTCAGAAGGGATCCCCTTCCGCCTTCCTGGCCGTTGTTCAGACCGTTCCCTCCTCGTGGAACACTCTCCACCCTTTCCTTGGTATCTTCGAGATCCTCATTAAATACTATGTCCTCCCTTTGAGGAATCTTCCTCATCCCCACAGCCATTCTTTGGGCGTCCTCCTTTGAAGTCCTGGCATAACTAGGTCAGATATTTCTTTGTTTCCCCAAGGGAAGAAAGGGGAACTAATTTGAAGTGCTGAAGACTTCATATATGTTATTCCCATATAATACTCACACCAGGTCCGCAGCATGGGCGTCACCTTTATCTTCCCCCTACAGAAAACAAAGCCACGCCTCAGAAGTTAGGGGATCCCCCAAGGTCACACAGCTTTGCTGAGTGGGGCAGAATTTGGAAGTCAGGTCGGGTCATTTTCCAAAAGCCAGGGACCCTGCTGCTCTAGCTACTCTGTAGCACTGAAAGTTTCACCTCGCTCCATCAAAGTATTTCCTTAAAAGAAAAAAATCCAGGCTTGAAAATATGTGCGTGTGCGTCCGTGCGCGCACACACAAGCCCCCCCCATATAATATGTAGATATATACACACACATTATGTACGTGTGTATGTATATACTAGCAGATATCATATATTAATATTACTGAAACGACTTCTCGCAGAGAAGTGACAAGCATGGAGACAGCTGCAGACTCCTCGGAACCGGCCCCCTCCACCAGCCTGCCAGGCCTTAGCCCGTGCGGTGCCTCGCAGTCGTAAAGCAGGACAAAACGTCCCTCTTTCCACCAGAAAGCAGAAGCCAGTGCAAATAAAACAAGGAGAACTAGCGAAGGGGCTTGCAAGGCCGCTGCCGCCGGGCCCGTAGGGAGGGCATTCGCCGCTATGCCCCCGAGGCATCGGAGCTGGCCGGGTATGGGCGGGGGGGTGGGGCGGTGAGCGTCCCGGGCGTGCGCGGCGCCTCCCTGCGCCAGCGTGCGGCGTGCGGCGTGCGGCCGGCGGCGGTGGCCGGCGCGGATACTCACGGCGTGGCGGGACGCGCAGATCTTTGCGATTCCGGTGTGCAGGGCGCGGCAGTCGCAGAGCTGGGCCAACTCCCCCGGCCGCGGGGCCCGGGTGACAGTCTGGACCTGGGCCGGGCTGGTGTACGACGGCCAAAGTAGGAAGCCCGCGGCTGAGCGGCGGCCGAGAGTCCACATGCTGCTCTGGGTCTGCGGCCCGCTCCGCCCTCCAGCGCGGGGGCGCTGCGGCGACCCCTGGTGGCCACGGGCCGCAGGCGCTCTTCTGTGGGGAAACAGCCAGACGTTAGATAGACCTCAGGAAGAACTTCCCAACTTAGCCCTATTCGTGTATTTAACAAAAATGGAGAGCCTGCCTTGTGCAAAGCACGGAGTGCAATCACGACCCCTGACCCCAGGGAGACTGCAGCCTGGTGACCCGCCGCTTAAGAAATTCTAAATAGAGGCCCGGCGTGGTGGCTCACGCCTGTAATCCCAGAACTTTAGGAGGCCGAGGCGGGTGGATCACGAGGTCAAGAGATCGAGACCATCCTGATCAACATGGTGAAACCCCATCCCTACTAAAAATACAAAAAAATTAGCTGGGCGTGGTGGCGTGTGCCTGTAATCCCAGCTACTCGGGAGGCTGAGGCAGGAGAATTGCCTGAAGCCAGGAGGCGGAGGTTGCGGTGAGCCGAAATCGCGCCATTGCACTCCAGCCTGGGTAACAAAAGCGAAACTCCGTTTAAAAAAAAAAAAAAAGAAAAGAAATTCTAAATAGAAGGGACTTGGGAGCTGCTGTCTTGTTGGGAAGTGGCTGCATGCACGAATTGAAGCTGTTGGCCACCAGTATGGGTTACAGCAGGTGGGCATGTGGGGCCAGGTGACGGATGCCTTGTGTAAATCTCTCTACCCACTTGCTACCTGTGTGAACAGTGGGCAAGTTAATTAACCTCTCTGTGCCTTGTTTATAAAATGCGGTTTATAAAAGTTCCTACTTCATAGGATTGTAGTAATGATAAAATGAGGTAAGCCGTGTAAAGTTTTTTTGGACAGGGCTTGGTTCCTGTTAAGCGCACAATAAATGTTATTGTTAATTATGTTTATTTATTTATTTGTTTGTTTGAGACGCGGTCTCTGTCACCGAGGCTGGAGTGCAGTGGTGCGGTCCTGGCTCACTGAAACCTCCCCCTCCCGGGCTCAAGCAATCCTCCCATTTCAGCCTTTCAATTAGCTGATACTATACAGGTGTGCCCCACCACACCCAGCTAAATTTTTGTACTTTTTGTAGAAAGAGGGTATTATGTTGCCCAGGGTGGTCTTGAACTTCTGGGCTCAAGTAATCTGCCTGCCTGGACCTCACAAAGTGCTGAGACTACAGGCATGAGCCACCGTGCCTGGCCTATTGTTAATAGATTTTGAAAGAGAATTTTACTTCTGATACATATTGCAAAGGGATACAAATTGCAAACGTTTTCGTCACATTTTATATATGCTTTAGAGGATGTCAAATGTGAGCCGAGTGTGGCAGTGCATGTCTGTAGTCTCAGCTACTCAGAAGGCTGAGGCAGGAGGATCACTTGAGCCTAGGAGCTCAAGGCTGCAGTGAGCTATGATTGTATATCTGTGAATAGCCACTGCATTCCAGCCCAACCACGGTAACAAGATACTGTCTTTAAAAAAAAAAAAAGAAAGAAAAGCAAAATGTCAATTGTGTACACGTTTCATGGCAAAGAAGATGGGAAGGTACTAAAGTTCTTCCAAAGCCACTTTGTGAATCCTTAAGAGAGACACATTTACATACTTAGGATGCTAAATGACAAGTGTCAAGAGGAATGTAACAGTGTCAACAGGTATGAGTCCTGAGTGGGAGATTATATAGCGCTAGGAGTAGGGGGAACCAAGGAAGTATTCATGGAAGAAGTGGCATTTGCACAGGGCCTTCAAAAATAGGGTAGTGGAGGTGGGATCTGATTGGTTATCAGAGAGGTGGTCCAGGTCATTCTGGATGAGAGACGTCTTTCTGTGTTTGATTAATTCTAGGAAGCTGCTTATTAAGCACTGTTATGTATATGCCAGGCCTGGAGAAATTATTCTCCCCCTGCAGACTATCTGGAGATGCTTTTGATTGTCACAATGGGCAGCTGTGGGGTGGGTGTGTTCTACTGACATCTAGTAGGTAGAGGCTAGGTTTGCTGCTAAACGTCCTATGATGTGCAGGGCAGCCCTCCACCCGTGCAGCAAAGAACTAGGCAGTCCAAAATGCTGCCAAGATGGAGAAGCCCTCCTTGAAGCCATAAAGGGAGAACCCATTTATAGTTCCTAGAACAAATGATGCTTTTACCCTCTCTGGTTATCCTTCATGTTATTCCTTAGTCTTCCATATCTTTGCCTGGTATGGAAGATTGGATCTTCCAAAGAGGGCCACACCAATATTTGTCCCATATCATATGCTCTTTGGGACTTTGACACTCCTGTTACCCAGGGATGGGATCTATTGTCCTCTCTTCAAATTCAGGTGGGGGCTATAACTATTCCAACCAACAGGTACTGCAGAAGTGATACTGGTGACTTCCATGTCCAGGTCATAAATGCAGCTTCCTCCTAACTCCCCCTTTTTGTTTGTTTGGGTTTTTGTTTGTTTGAAACAGAGTCTCATTCTGCTGCTCAGACTGAAGTGCAGTGGTATGGTCATAACTCACAGCAGCCCCCAGCATGCCCGGCTACTTTTCGTATTTTTTGTAGAGAAGAAGTTTCACCATGTTGCCCAGACTGGTCCTGAACTCCTGGGCTCAAGCGATCTATCTGCCTTGACCTCCCAAAGTGCTGGAAGTAAAGACTACAGAACTACAGAGCCACTGCACCCAGCCTGTATTTTGTTTTAAATAAAGATGAGAAAATTTAATTTTAATGAGTAGAAAAGCCTTAAAAATGAGTCAGGCATGGTGGCTTATGCCTATATTTTCAGCATTTTGAGAGGCCGAGGCAGGTGGATTATTTGAAGTCAGAAGGTCAAGACCAGCCTGGCCAAAGTGGTGAACCCCCGTCTCTACTAAAAATACAAAAGAAATTAGGGTAGTGGTGCATGCCTGTAATCCCAACTACTTGGGAGGCTGACGCAGGATAATTGCTTGGACCCTGGGGGCAGAGGTTGCAGTGAGCCAAAATCACACAATTGCACTCCAGCCTGGGCAATAAGAGTGAAACTCCATCTCAAAAAACAAAACAAAACAGAACAACAACAACCACAAAAGAAAAAAAAAGAAAAGCCTTAAAAATGAAGAGATAAAAATTTGAATAGAACCGAAGCATGATAAAAATAAAATATTTCACATTTAAAAATAATATTTGGTGAAATAAATGAGACAAAAGGCTGAATGGCAAATAATATGTATATATGTTTGTGCATATATACAGAGACACAGATAAAACACATCTTATTTCTATCCTGCCTTTCATTTTAAATCTCATTTATATATACATAGATAGAAAATTGGCACATTTATATTCCTCAAACGAGTGACGGCAAAGGCAATTATAGTACTTTAGTATTTCTTTTGTGCAATAAGAAGTGAAATGTGGTTTGATTGTTCTGCACTGTCCTCGGATGCCATTCCGCCTTCAAGAGTCCAGGTTGCTCTGTCCTGAGTTTGAGCTCTCTAGGAAGCATAACTGGGGACGAAGATCCTGACTGCGAGGAAGTATCTTGAGGCTGGACACACTGGCTCATGCCTATAATCCCAGTACTTTGAGAGGCGGAGACAGGTGGATCACTTGAGGCCAGGAGTTCAAGACCAGCCTGGGCAACATGGTAAAACCCTGTCTCTATTAAGTAAAATGCAAAAATTAGCCAGGTGTGTGGCAAGCACCTGTAATTCCAGCTACTTGGGAGGCTGAGGCAGGAGAATTGCTTGAACCCAGGAGGAAGAGGCTGCAGTGAGCTGAGATTGCACCATTGCACTCCACCCTGGGCAACAGAGCAAAAACAGTCCAGGCGTGGTGGCTCACACCTATATACTTTTTGGGAGACTGAGGCGGGTGGATCGCCTGAGATCAGGAGTTCAAGACAAGCCTGGCCAACATGGCAAACCCCATCTCTACTAAAAATACGTAAATTAGCCAGGTGTAACGGTGTGTGCCTGTAATCCCAGCTATTCAGGAGGCTGAGGCTAGAGAATTGCTTGAACCCAGGAGGCAGAGATTGCAGTGAGCTGAGATGGCTCCATTGTAGTGCTGCCTGGGCGATAAGAGTGAAACTCTATCTCAAAAAACAAAAACAGAAATAAAGTATCCTGAGAGACATGGGGTGAGTTTTGAGAATGCAGTTGTCCCTTGGAATCTGTGGAGGATGTTTCCTGTGACCTCCCATGGATGCCAAACTCCAGGGATGCTCAGGTCTCTGATATAATGGTGTGGTAGGCAGAGTGTAATGACTCATGCCTGTAATCCCAGCATTTTGGGAGGCTGAGGGGGAAGGATCTCTTGAGGCCAGGAGTTCACTGGGCAATATAGTGATACTCCACCTCTAGAAAAAATGAAAATAAGCTAGCTCAGCATGGTGGCACATGCCTGCGGTCCCAGCTACTCTGAAGACTGAGGTGGAAAGATGGCTTGAGTTCAAGAATGTGAGGCTGCAGTGAGCTATGATCGTACCACTGCACTCCAGCCTGGGTGGCAGAGCAAGACACTGTTTCAAAAAAATAAATAAAATGGTGTGGCATTTGCATATAACCTACATATATTCTCCTGTATACCTTAAATCACCTCTAGATTACTTATAGTAGCCAGTACAGTATAAATGCTGTGTAAATTGTTATCCTGTATTGTTTCTCCATCTGTGTTTTTTGTATTTTTGTTATTACAGTTTTTGTTTTGAGATGGAGTCTTGCTCTGTTGCCAGCCAGACTGGAGTGCGGTGGCCCGATCTCGGCTCACTGCAACCTCGGTCTCCTGGGTTCAAGCGATTTCCCTGCCGCAGCCTTGTGAGTAGCTGGGACTACAGGTACACATCACCATGACCGGATAATTTTTTGTATTTTAGTAGAGATGGGGTTTCACCATGGCCAGGATGGTCTTGATCTCCTGACTCATGATCCACCCACCTCAGCCTCCCAAAGTGCTGGGATTACAGGCGTGAGCCACCGCGCCTGGCTGCTGTTGTATTTTTTATTGGTATTTTTCCTGGAATATTTTTGGCCCTGAGGTTGCAGAAGCTGCAAGTATAGAGGGTCCAGTGTCCAGGAGACC